CTCCAGCTGCTGCAGAGCCGTCCAGAGCCGTCTGAGGGTGGTGGCTTGAGCAGGTTAATTGCTCCTGGTGCCGGGTTTGTGGCCCACGAGCCTGTGGCTGCCTCATTCCTACCAGCTCGGGGGACAGAGGAGTTGGCTCTGTGTGTCCCAGACCTTTGGGTCTTCAGGCCATTGCAGTTACTGTGCTTCAGAATGATTCTTGGGTACACAACTGGCAAAAAACCAAAGTGTGTCAAAAAACCCGCAGCGTGTCGAAGATGATTCCCTCCCCTCCAGGAAAACATCGTGGTTTGTGCAAGCGTAAATGCCAAACCCACACGCTGAGGAGCCTTTCTGCTCCCTGCCTTGGCTCTGCCTCGTGTCTGCTGACTGATACGACTGCTTGGTGTTCTGCTGTCTCCTTCCTGTTGCACAGCGAGCGAATATTTCTTGCCCAGTGCGATAAGAGCAGATTTTGGGGGATACCTCAGACTTCTGGCCTGAGGCTTAGACCTGGGAGGTTTTCCTGTGGTTGAACGTGCTTTTTCCAGGGTTGATGCTGTTAAGCATGGCCCCAAGCCTCCTGCCTGATGGCAGAATGATCCTTGCAAGGGGCAGTGTTAATATTTCATGGTGTTCAGACTCCTGCTCCCAGCTTGGGCAGGGAGGGCAGAACACAACCCCCATCCCTCTTGCCCCATTGGGGGTCTGTTGGTTTGAGCAGCTGGCAGTCAGGCCACACGCTGGGTGCAAGCCAGTGCCTGGGGCATCTGCGGTCCCTCCGTGGCTCCCGGTGTGTGCCCGGCTCCATGGTGAGAGGTGCTGTGGTGCGGTTTGCACGACAAGTGGAGCACAGGCTGCGGGCTCCTGCCCAAGCCCAGGGTGCTGCGGTCCCTGCAGACCTCAGCACAGAGAGCGATGCACCTGTACCTGGCTCTGGTGTATGGAGGGCAAGGGTGTGATGACTTCTGCTAGCCTGGGTTTTATTTCAGAGCACCCTGTCCTCTGTTTGACTTTAGGTTGGTGATAAGGTAATGGTCCTGGCTAGGTCAGGGCTCTGGCAAGAAGTCGTGAACGTACCAGCCAGTCAGACTTTCCTGATGCCTGAGGGGATGAGCTTCGAGGAAGCGGCTGCTCTTCTTGTCAACTACATCACTGCCTACATGATTTTGTTTGACTTTGGAAACCTGAGACCCAACCAGAGTGTCCTCATTCACATGGCTGCAGGTAAATAGTTCTTGCCAGCCCATGCTGAGGCTCTTGGCCTTAACATGCAGCTTCTGAATGGGTGGCACGGGTGAGGAAGCAATCAGAACAGGACTGGACTGACAAAAACTCACCTGCAAGAGATGTAGGCTTCATGCTGACCCAGGTGCTGGCAAATGGTGACCCCATTTCCCAGCAGCCAGGGTTGTTCTCCCCCATTGTGTGTCACAGTCTTTCTCACTGCTGGTTTTCAGGTGGTGTGGGAACTGCTGCCATCCAGCTGTGCAGGACTGTAGAAAATGTCACCATTTTTGGCACAGCGTCTGCCTCCAAGCATGATTCTCTCAAGGAGAGCGGAGTTGCTCACCCCATTGACTACAGAACGATGGATTACGCAGAGGAGGTCCGGAAAATCTCTCCCAAAGGTACCGTGAGATGGAGGACTTCTACAACCATCCTGCATTTCTTTCAAGTGCAAAGAAAGTTCCAGTTATTTTCAATTCCCTCTAGGTGTTGACATTGTCCTGGACCCCCTGGGAGGATCTGATACATCCAAAGCATTTAACCTGTTGAAGCCAATGGGCAAACTCATCACTTATGGTAAGTGTGAGCAGCGTGCCCAGAGCCCAGCTCCTGCGTAGGGGGGACCGTGTGATGACAGGGTGGGTGTGGGTCTGCATGGGAATGCTCCATGCTGCTTCCAGCTGGGACACATAGCTGTGAGGGAGCATCACTGCTGCTGGCTGCTGTGTTGTGTTGTAGTTCTGTTGTTTCACAAAGGTCTTTAGGATGCTTCACCTGGGTGAGGCACAGAGGGGAATGAGACTTGTGCCTTGCCCCAAAAGCTCTGGTGACAGGCTCCAAGGCACTTCCCTCCTACGGTGAGATCTCTGTTCAAGTACGAGCTGGTGCCAGCAGGGGAAGCTGGAATGTCCTCATGGAAGAACGCTGGCACAACTGCTTTGTCCAGGCTGACAGCTGACTTAATGCACAGAACTAATAGAGCCTTGCTTTTCTTCTAGAGGATGTGTGGGTGATGAGGTTTGAGGCTACTGAATACTTATCTCTCCATTCCCCAGCCCTGAAACACTGTGATTTTGTCCTGTAGACAAAGCCCTCATACAACCCCCAGTGAGATTCCAGACACTTGCACCAGTGTGTTGCTTCTGTTGTCCCAGCCATTGCAGTGTGTGGCTCCCCTGAAGAAGACTGGCTATAGGAGAAGGGGAGTGCTGTCCTGCCAGCCTGGCTGGATGTGCAGCACTGCTACTGCCCTCCTAAGAGAGTTGTCAGTTGATATTTTTCCAATATATGGGTGCCAGTAATCCAGATTCCACATATCTTGAGGCTGAGGCAGGTACCTGTTTCCATTGGAGGGCGACTGGGCAGATCCTGATGTGAACCAGTTCTCACCTCTGCCCTTCATCACTGTGTAAGCAGCTGTTGCCCTGCACGTTGTCTGAGCTGTTATATGGGGTGCCCGCTACCTCTCGTGTTGTGTTGATTCCAGCTCATCTGTGGCTTGCCTTCTTTTTAGGGGTGGCAAACCTGCTCACTGGGCAGAAGAAGAACCTCATGGCTATGGCTAAAACCTGGTGGAACCAGTTCAGCATCAATGCCTTGCAGCTCCTACACCATAACAAGGCTGTGTGTGGCTACCACCTTGGATATATGGATGAAGAATTTGAGCTTGTTGGAGGTGTTGTAGCCAAGCTGGTTAACCTGTACAATCAAGGCAAAATCAAGCCCAAAATAGACTCTGTGTGGCCCTTTGATCAGGTGAGTCTGAGCTAACGTATAGGCTGGCAGCACCCAGAAATTACTGGTTGATTGTTTTCTGCACAGTGAGCTCTGGATCAGCGTGAGCACCTTGTTTGTGGAGGCTGAACTGTTGCAGATGTTTAATAACCATCTGTTCTCAGACATTCGGTGCCTTTTTCCTTTTAAGATATTAAGGGGGAGTAAAGTGGCCTGGGTTTTCTGCTCCAGTGCACAGAGCTGGGCCATGGCAGACAGTGTTCCTGTGGAACAGGGCAGGTGCTCAGCTGTGCTCCGTGGGCAGCAGCAGCCCGTGGAGGGGCTGGCTCATGCTGCCCTGAGTCTGCACCCTGTAATTAAGCAGACAGCTGGGAAGGTTGCTGCTGCCCTTCCAAGAGTGAAAAAGAGCCCAGGCAGAGAAGACGAATGAGGATGTTGGAGGGGAGCAGCAGGTTTTTCAGCAGCTCTGCTGTGCTCACTGTTGTTGCCTCCATGTGTCCAGGCAGAATCAGGTTCTTCCCTTGGAAATCCGTTGCTGGGGTAGGACTTACTGCAGAGGAGCAAAGGACTTGGTAATGATCAGTTGATGTTACTACATGAGAACTAGTCTGAAATAAATGCTTAAGGAAAACTATTGATTCCAGGCCTGGCCCAGGTGTTGTTTTGCTTAAAAATAATAATAATAAAAAAGAAATCTGTGCATGTATTGTTGTGTGGTTGTATAGATGGTAGAAGCATTGTCCTTCTGGCTCTTGTCTGGGTTTCTGCAGTGCTCCCCTCTGTTTGGAAAGGAAGCTGTGGTGGCACACACTTCATTCTTCCATGGCTTGACTAGCAAAGCATCCTTGAGTATGTTATGGTTGGTCTGTGTGAATTCTTGAGGACAGTTTCCTACCGGCAGGCTGGGGTAGCTGCCAAGCTCTGTCCAACACGCGTCTGTGCAGAGGGACCCGAATGCTTGGCACTTGCTTGGACTACCAGGAGAGCTGCCTCCTGGGAGGCCTTCAGACTAGTCTGGGTGGACCAAGGGTCCCAGGAAAGGCCTGACTGCACTGTGTGGTAGGTGTGGGTCTCATGAGATTCCTGTTGCTTCCAGGTGGCAGATGCCATGAGGCAGATGCAAGAGAAGAAGAATGTTGGAAAGGTCATCCTGGTTCCTGAAGCACCCAAGGAAGAATCCAAAAAAGAAGAGAACTAAGAAGGAGAGATGTGTGCAGATTATGAATTCATGGTTTAACTCCCTGATCTTTGGGACCTGGAAATGGACAGCTCAGTAGCTTCCATCTTCACCAGTACAAGAACATCATGGTTAAAGTTCAGATGAGGTTTGCATGCTCTCGTTGTGACTGACCCTTTGCCAGATATGCCTCCTGCCGTAGCTCTCTGTTTTGCAGCCCGTTTATTTGTACGTTTTTCTAATCACTTGTTTCTCTACTGAATTTCCAAACTAACCTTATTTTTCTCTGGCAGTGCAGCTGAAGCTTCCGGGCAGCTGGTGATTAACAATTGCATAGCCTGTCACTGTGTGTCCACAGAAACACAGCCCTGCTGAAGCGTTTGCGCTGTCACCTCTGAGAAGCTTGTTCAGCTGGAGAATGTGCCAAATTGAGGATGTTTCCTCAACAGCCAGAGGAAAAGCACAGCTAGCCTAGTTGAATTCTAGCACGGGCTACTCTTCCGTTTACACTAACGATGCTCTTTCCCCTCTGCTTTCGTAGGCCTCTAACAAGTCAGAGAGTAATAGGTCATGTTGTCTTTGCTTTGTAAATAACCATCCTGGCATTTTGGAGTCTATGGCATATTGCACTTAATTTGCAGTCACTTCTCTGTGCAGTCAGCAAATAACCTGACGGGCTGGTCTGGTTTCTGTCTGAATACAGAAGAAAAGTTTCCATTAGGTAACTTGATCTTGTCCATTTTCTGATTCCAAACCATATAGGGAGATCTAAACTATGTCTGATTTTTAGAGACCATAAGGACTCAACTGTGTCTCAAATGACTGGAACAATTGATGTTGGCTCTGTGCTTTATTAATGTTGGGCTCCAAGCTGGTATTGTTAAGGCTAAACTTCACCCTCATGTTTGTATTTCCAAGGGCTGCAGTGTTGAATTGGACTTGCTCAGCAAGATGGGAACAAAATAAGCTCCTGTTAATGCTTGCTTTGTGCTGTGCCCTGTGCACTGGGGAGGTGTTGCAGTTTGGGAACTAATTCACAAGAACCAGCCCTGTAAGCCTGCCTCCCAGGAGCCTGGCCTGGCTCTTTCTGTGGCACACCACTCAGTAAAGCTACCACAAGGTTACCAGTGTAGATGGTAAACTGCCTAGCTCTGTGTCAAGCTTCTTGGCCTGAGCATCTTGAGCAGTTTAAATTGTGCTTTCCATTCTCTTCCAGTAGCTCATTAGATACCCACTCAAACCAGCTCACACCTCGCTCAGTGCTGCAGTCAGGCTTGACTCTTCTTCCCCTGGAACTGCAAGTCTTGGGACCCTTGGGCTCTCTTCCAGCACCAAGGGTTTAGGAGCTGCCTGGGGTGCTCCTCCCAGACCAGAACTCAGTTTATCTTCCTCTTTTCTTTCTTCTGTGCATTTGGAAAGGTAGCTGTGCAGAGACCCAAGCCTAGCTCTGTGAACACTTAATGTCCTGGGTGATGCCCCGCTTCCCGCTGGACCCTCTTTTCAGCCCTGAGTGACTGTGGTGCTATTTGTGCTTGCTTTGAGGCTTTGGCACAGATTGTAGGTGCTGCAAGCTTTTAGGCTTCATTTTGGATTTGAAAAGGTAAACCTGAGGGTGCCAAGAAGAGCTGCCCATCATGGAAGAGCTCAGGCTCTGGGAGCAAAACCTTGCTATGGAGAGTCCTGCTTAACCAAACCCCAAGGAGGGAAGGTGCCTGCTGGGCACAGGGCCCCGCAGGCAAAGCCCCTCTGCTGCTCAAGAGCAGCCAAGCGCTGCACAAGGCTGGGGGTTCCTGTGCAGATGAGGAGGAGTGTGGCTCTATCCTTCAGCTGGGGCTCCTGTCTATCAGTGCAGCTTGTATGTCAGGTGCTTGGGCTCTGTCCCTAGTTCTGCTGCCTTTTAGAAATGTGTAGGCGTAGCCTCTGGGGACTTGGCCTGGCTGATGCTAAGTATTAAAACAACTCTGTTCCCTATGACCTCAGAGGAGGGCTGGAGCCCTGTCACAGATCCTTGTCAGTCCATCTCTTGCACTTGATATGTTGACTTCATAAACATGGTCTGATGAATTTCACAAGCACAACTTTTAACCTTTCTGAATCCAAAATCTTGCTGCTTCTCCTTTCAACCTGCCTTGTCATGCTAATTTAGATTAAATCCAACAGTGTCTAATGCTGCTTTACCAGGTCTGACAACAGAAGGACTGTAAATTGCTGAAATGGGAAGTCTGGACCTGTGCCTCCCAAGAAACTGGACTTCACCTTGATGAAAGAGCAGCGTGCTGAAATGGCACACAACCCTGCACACCTTCAGGTTCTGCACACTTGTAAAGGGGAAAACTATCAAATTGTGTTTCACAGTAATGTCCTCTTGCTTTACTCTTGGCTAAGCGTGTGCTCAGTGCCTTACTTGGATGGCCTGGGATCAGGCAGCGTAGCAAGGCTCTCGCAGGCTGTCCCTCCCCACGCAGCGTGGAGGAGGAAAGTGGGAGTCTTGCAGGTTCCTGTAGGACACTCTGACGTGCTGCCTTGCGGTGTGCCACAGAAAACAGTATCTCAGTGCCTTCTTCTACGTGCCTGTAAGGACTAGGAGGTCACTGGAGCCTTTTCCACTCTGGCCTTTCAAAGTATTGCCAAAAACCTGTTTTGACTCTTGCTAGCTCTGTTTTGTGAACACTGGTGATGTAGTCTGACTTACTGTGAAAAGGACGCTCCCTTTCCATGTGTTACAGCCTTTCCAGGACCATCCTGGTGGTTCTGTGCTCCCTAGTCCAGGAGAGCTATTGTAGAGCCCTTCTCTCCCCCTGGGCAGCTCTGGCTCCAGACAGCCCTCGAGTGAGACTTTTATCTGCTGCCCTAGCCTTGGCTCTCTGGAAAAAATCCCAGCTCCTGATTCTCTTTGGGTAGCTGCCCACATATCTTCTATGTACAAATTCCTGAAGCCCTTATCAGGGCAAGAGTGCTAAGCAGTTACTATCTGTTAGAGTTTACCTCTGACTGTTTTATGGCCCTTGGTAGCAACAGTTTTCTACAGAAAGACCAAGATTAAGTGTAACCTTGCTCTTCACTGCCTCACTGATCAGTGCTCTGGTCTATGTGTGGTTGGCTGTTTTTAGTTTTGGTTTTTTACCTTTTTTTTTTTTTAAATGGACAAACATTTTATGGGCCAATAAGTATAGAACCTATATAAAACAACTTCAAGTGTCTTAACTCAAAGTTAACCAGCAGGTTTGTATACTAGGGACCAAAGCAAAAAAAAAAAAACCAAACAAAAACCCTAGGATAAAAATCATTCCACTCCATGTTGCTTAACTGTTTAGGGCAAAGTCTTGCTATTGAGGGGATGGGAGATTACTGTGCTTAAGTTCCCGCAATCAGAAGTGCAATTTAATGTTTATTTTACTGATTGTCTGACCCAAAAGTTGTGCTGTGAGGAGTCCAAATGGCGGGTGTGAGTAAGGAGTTCATGAGCAGAGGAGAGGCATCCCCAGCCCTGCCTGCTGCTCTCAGGGTGTCTTGTGCCAGGGCCACTCCTGTGGTCATGACTGCAGTCGCCTTCCCAGGCTGCTACTGCTGGTCTTGGACAAAATGCGACTCCTTTGCTATCACCAGGCAGCTTCTGTCATGTTTTTTTTACTCTGTTTTTTTCTTGACTTTAACTGCAGAAGGGGAAGAGAGTGGAAGCAGCCGTGGCTTGTGCAGAGGAGCCTGACTCCTGCCAAGTCCTTAGAGATGGGGGATGGAGTTTAGCTGTACATTTCATTTTGGACACCTCTATTAAACTAGAATTGATTGACCAGGGAGATGTAAGAAGCACTGTGGGCCTCAGGCTTGGTGCAGGATCCTGACCCACTTACAGCTGCTGTCATAGGTGTAGAACCACTCTTTGCTGCCTAACCAAGTCTCTAGTGTGCCAAGCCCTGGTGATGGCAAAGCGTGACTGGCAAGTACCACACGAGTGCGATGTGAAATGCACGAGACTCTGAGCCTCTTACAACATCTGGTCCGGTCTGTACTGTCTGAGTCGTGTTGATATGAGTGATATTCGTCCTCCAGACACATGGAAAATCTTTGTTTAAAATATACTCTGCTTTGTGCGTGTAACCAAGTTGGACAGAAAGCAAGTGTGCCAATGCTGTTTACATGACTATACTGTGTAATGCTCCTCTGTCTAATGTTACCATATGCCTTATGTGTTTCAAACATTAATTAAAAGCATAACAAACACCTCAGTGGTATGCTACTCAATCTGCTGTTGGAATGAACCCTGTGCCCCAGCTCAGCCTCTGGGGCACTTTTATTGCTTCTCCAGGCAGTCTGGGGGTAAACACGTTCAGTTTATAAATTCTAACTCTCTTAGGGTGAGAGGATGCCACTGCTCTCAAGGACAACTGTTAATTGTTGCCTGGAGTGCTGCACTGATCTTCTAATGCCCTGTTCTAGAGGGCAGCTATGGTGATTTTTGTTTGCAAGGCCCTTAACTGCCCTTTACACTTCACTCTGTGTCTAGATGTCCCTCTAGCCAGTTGGGATTGAAATGGGTGCCTGGGGTGATGGTAAGACAAGGTGTGAACAACCACTACTAAAAAATGAGAGAATAAATCTTGTTTATTTGTGTTTCTCCACTAAAGACCGTGGATGCCTGTATATCCTCACAGGAGGCAGCTGTCCTGGGCACTGAAAGCTTCATGCTGTCCCTAAGAGAGCATCAGGTTGCCTGCTGGCCCTGGAGCAGGTGCTGGGAAGGGGCTGTAGCTTGGTGCTGTCTGTGTTAAGCTGCAATTGTGGCAGCTGGGAAGGAAGGTGAAGCAAAGGCACAAGCTGTGGAGGCTCAGGCAGGGAGTCTCAGGCAATACCCAGGTTCTTCAGTACTGTGCAAACCTCATGGAGATACTGGGCATCTGGATAGCCGTTCCTGTGGGGCAGAGAGGGAAGTGGTGTAAACCCACTGAAGGGAGCAGCAGTTTATTTTTTCCCCATCCCTTCAGCAGGGGCTGAGGGCAGAAGTCCTGCTCCTGGGGAGCCTCCACGGCCCACAGGCACAGCTCGCACCCAGAGCTGGCTACAGAACGCTGTCACGGGAAAAGCCAGGAAAGCTGTAAGTGAACAGGGCCCAGAATTCCTGGCTCTGGAGAACTTACTTAGAGGTGTGGGATGGGCAAGGGCTAAAGCTCCAGCTGGAGGGTGC